GACCTGCACATCTATATCTAGGGTTTGTGTTTATCATCATTTCCCACAGGGTCAAACATACCCCGTGTGCCTGTATGGCTGTGGCAGATCCTGTCAGGATGTGCTGTCAGTCAGAGTCAAGGCAGATACACATGGAGGCACAATGAGGGTTTGGTGTGTTTTGCCTCTGAGTTAGAGGCTGGTAAGGAAAGGCTGTTAATGCTCAGAAGGAGGTAAAAGTTATTAGACAGACTTTTGTTAAGGGAGGAGGGAACAGCAGCCCTGCAGGCCTGTCTAAGCAGGTGGGGGTCAGCTTAGTGTGGCGAGAGACTGGAAACTCTCTGCAGGCCTCAGTACTGGGCTGGTGGTTCCAAGAGAAATAGCTGTAAGTAATTTGAGACCTGATATGGTTTGTGGTCAGAAGTCAAGCGTATAGTTTATTTAATAGAATTAACAGTGAGATGGGAAGGATCAATAGAGGAAGCATATGAGGGAAAAAAATCCAGATCTGCAGCCTTGGCAGGTGAGGTCACTCAGAGAGGATGGACACGTCCTGTCAGGGCGATGGGAGGGGGGGGGCTTCCTGTCAAAGTCAATGACGTCAATGCGGAGAGAGTTTGGCTTCTGCGCTTATCAGGTGAAACAGGTGGTTAAAATGCTGGTTAATGGTGCAGAGGAAGCGAGTCGGTGGATGTGGGTCAGGGGACAGGACAGGCAGTGGGGGACAGAGGGCGAGGTGAGAGTTTGCTGGGCTTTTTTCATCTTTTTCCTCCCACGGTGTTTTATACGTTTCATGGAGATCAGTCAGTGTGTGTTAGTGTGGTTTGGCGGGTTATTGGTGTATAATTATCAATCTGTTATAACAATGTAATTTTTTTAGCTATGAATTTATTATTATTATTATTACATTGTAATGTAGCAGGTAGTCTATGGGTGATGTAGTTACGTGTCAGAAGACTTTGCTTTGGGTTTTGGCCCCTTTTTCTTTCGGCTTGAGTTAGAATTTTGGGTAAATGAAAGCAGCTGGTTAATATGCTGGTTAATGCTGAGCGGTAAGCCAGTCTTTGGCTGTGGTGGGTTTATGGGGGTCAGTGTGGCGTAAGCGGTGGGATCGGCTGTGGGGAAGGACGGGTAGGTGAGCATTTCCCGCCGTTTCTCTCCTTCTTTCTGCTGGCCGCGTGTTTTATGGAGGGAAGGATCTGAAAGTGTGAGGCTCAGGCTGGTGCCTGTCAGTGTGGTTCAGTCGGGTTTGGGTCGGCAGGTGTCGGTCCGGTTTGTTTTATCTTAGAGAGTCATTATTACAGTGATTTTACTGTTTTAGAGGGATGAGTCTCTGCCGTCAGGAAAGGAGGGGGGTGATTATGACATTGGAGACACTGATCAAACCTTCTCGGTGTATTAGGCCTTAAACTCAAGGAAACACCAGTTTGGTGGGGGGGGGGCAGAGGGGGGCACCTGATGACCTTGGTGATTTTCTGCCTGCAGACACTTAACCAGAGCGGCAGCTTTGCTGTAGTACATCTCAGCAGCTTGTCAAAGCCGGACTTTATAGGTAGTGAATACTGGGTATTTAGGGTATGTTGTGTAGTTAGAGGCTCAGTCTGTCTAACCTGCTGCTGTGTGGCTGTATGACAGCAGAGCCTGATGGTTTCTACACAGTTTTTAAACTGGGTAAGTTTTTCCTTTAAGCTGTCAATAAACTACCTCTTTAAAACACTGTACTCATCCTCATGATAATGTGCCTGAAGAGACTCGGCCGACTGTCTGCAGTGACCCCCCCAGGTCACTTTTCAGCTCTTCAGTGCCCCCACTAGTGCAGTACAGCTGTGTCTGTCCCCAGGGCTGAGCAGTGGGAGGCAGGACAGCGTCGTCCATGAGGCACACGGCCAGCTGCAGGGCCTTTTCCTCCAGTGTCGTCCCCCCCACCCCCCATGTACTAACAGCTCTAACTGACCTTTGGATGCTCCTCAGTCCAACCTACCTGAGCATCGGGGCTTTTGAGCGGTGCTGTGACCTCACCGATGCAGGAGGTCTCTGCACGGGGGGTGAACCAGAGCGGGGGGGCGGCAGGTGGAGTTAAAGCGGCTCTTCTCCCCCCTCACCCATGTCTCGCAAACTCTCTCCAAGCTCCCGAAAGGCTGCCCTCTGGCACTGTCATGCAAAATCTCTTCCCCCTGTGACATATCACTCAGCTGTTTGGCCAATGATGCAGTTTCAGGTTCATCTCACCCTTAGTTCTGCAGCAACTGCATCATCGGCCTAACAGCTGAGCGATACCTCACAGGGGGAAGGAATCCGGACGGGGGAAGAAATTCTGCATGGCAGCACCACTGGTAAACTTACTGAACTTTGTCAATAGACAAAGTTTAATCCTGACACCAAATGTAATGCTGACAATAGTTTACTACACAATAGAAAGGTTTACTGGTGATAACCAGCTTGGATAATCTGCACATACACTGTAGTGTCATCAACAGCCTCGAACCCAAACCCAAAACTGAACAACTCCTCATCACATCAGGGTCAGTCACCCCCCCAACCCCCCAGTCACAGCAATGGACATATCGTCCCCTGACTGGCAGCTGCACTCGACGCTACAATGCTACTAAGCTAAATGAACTCTCTGTTTCTCACAGTTACTGTAATGAATTACACTGTCATGGTCACTGTATCAGACATCTGTCAGATCCTGGCTGGAGGGAAGCTGATGTCTCACATTGTACATGAAGGAATAATGTGAATATTTTACAAGTTTAAATGTTAGATAAGACCTTATGTATGTAGACTGCAGGTTGGTCTTAAGTTTGTCTGGTTATATTAATTAAAACTAGCCATAAATTGAAAGGTAAATACCACTTTGTGGTCACTACATTTCTTGTATAACTAAACCTGTCAATATAAAATTTATCGACATTTGTTCTCACTGTCTTCGGAATTACAGGGCAATCAGGAGATGGAAGACATGTCTGATTCATCTTATTCCTGGAGGTCTGATGCAGAGGAGGTAAGCAAAGGACGTCCTATAATCCAGAGCTGCTATAATCCACCCTGTGCCCTTCATCTTTAAACACTGACAGCTGTCACTTATAACTAGTGTGTTTCAGGTTTAATTGTTTGATAAGTACTTATGTATGTAGACTGCAGGTTGGTCTTAGTTTTAATGTAACCAAATAAACTTAGCCATAAACTGAAAGGTAAATACCACTTTGTGGTCACTACATTACTTGTATAACTAAACCTGTCAATATAAAATTTATCGACATTTGTTCTCACTGTCTTCGGAATAACAGGGCAATCAGGAGATGGAAGACATGTCTGATTCATCTTATTCCTGGGGGTCTGATGCAGAGGAGGTAAGCAAAGGACGTCCTATAATCCAGAGCTGCTATAATCCACCCTGTGCCCTTTAAACACTGACAGCTGTCACTTATAACTAGTGTGTTTCAGAAGGAAGCTGGCACCTTACAAACTGTCCCCATGCATAAGCATGGTGAATATTTTATGAGTTTGGTTGCTGCAGTAGGTTTAACACCTGCAAATATAAAACTGATCACATAACACCCACTTCTGCAGGAATCATGTGCCAATAAGGAGACTGTTGCATTGTCCCCCCCTGACCCCGATGGCCCAATCACAGAGGAGGTAAACAGAGGAACAAGAGCTCTGTGATTCTCAGGGTTCCTGTCATTTACTCCACTTTGGATCCAAGGACACTGTTACCTGTCAGTTTTTACAGTGTCCTTCACAGGAATAAGGAAGTTGGCATCTCCCCACACTCTCCATGCAGTATAAGTATGTAACTTGGTGTTATACCTGTTGGGATGTAAGCAGTTCTTTAATGTTTGGTTACTTTAACCAAGTCCTGTAAACTGAAAGGTAAATATAACTTCACAGTCACTGCATGACTTGTTTGACAAAATCTGTTAATATGAAATGAATCAGCTTACAGTTGCCCTTTTACAGGGATCACATGACAATCTGGAGATGAAGACATTTTCACCTGCTGATCACAATGAGCCAAACACAGAGGTAAATATGCACTAGGGGCAAATGCTATTTTAACTATATTGTTCATTAACCAGGTTTGGATTGAGTTTAGGGACGATATTGTGGTAATTTATATGAGCCAAACACAGTAAATATGCACTAGAGGGCAGTGTTGGCAGATAAAGAATTACTTACACACATTTAATCAGCTATGTTGATATTTAACCCTGCTCAGACTGGGTTTAAGTAAGGAAATATTATAAAGGGGCGATTTATATGTGAAGTTTTTATTTGAACAAAATACTGTTTGATTTTGTGCCACAGGACCATAAATTGTGTCCTGGGTTTGATGAAAGATAAAGTCTGATGTTCTCCAGTCCTTACATTTATTTATATAGCAGACTTGAGCTCTGCGAGGGTATGAAACATTCATGGTATTATAACCATATTACCCTGCCGCTCTATAAATAACACAAACGTACATGAGAAATGTATTGTATAAACGTATTTAATTTAATCCTTATTAACTTGATTAGTCATATGAACTGCATTTTTGTCTACTTTAACTTGTCAGTGACATGGCTCGTGTGAATATGAACCTTCTGCATTGTTTCAGCACCGGGGTGTCAGAGTACTGGCCTGCGACGTGTTTTTTAATCATTATTAAATCCTCAACCCGCATAAAATCTGAATTAGTGTGAATTGGGAACACTGGATGTAACGGACATTTAATGTCATTATAATAGAATATTTATGTGTGACAGATATTAACATCCATGGACACTGTTACCTGTCAATTTTCAACAGTGTATGTCAATTGAATAAGGAGAGCAGCTTCTTAAAAATGTCTCCATGCATGGAGTTTAAGTATTTCATTTGATATTTGTTGGGATGCAAACTGTTCTTTATTGTTTAGTTACTTTTAAACTAGTCATGCAAACGTAAAGGTAAATACCACTTTGTGGTTCCTACATGACTTGTTTGATAAAAACCTGTTAATATGAAATGAACCAGCTGACAGTCCCCTTTTACAGGGATCACATGACAATCAGGAGATGGAGCCATTATCACCTGCTGATCACAATGAGCCAAACACAGAGGTAAATATGCACTAGGGGCGTCATGCATGTTTAATTACAGAAACACATGCTGATTTAATACAACTATACTGTTAAATAACCAGTTTTGGACTGAGCTGAGGTAGGATATTGTATATATATGTATAAGGAAGGTCATTTATATGTGAGGTTTTGTACTTGCATCCTGGGTTTTAGATTAAGTACCCAGACTCTCCCATGGTGATTCCAGTCCACACTGGCTTTTACTGATTCAATTCTGTGGCGTCACAAACATTCCCTTGTTGTAATACAGCTTCACCTTCTGCTGTTCACAGGTTACAGAGGAGAGCAGCACTGAAATCTGATGGATCCTAACCACACTTTGTTGTTGTCAGATTGCCTACAGTCTTAAGTTTCCAAGTCCTGTTGTATAACCAAGCTGGTCAGATGAACAGTTACCAGATTATCAATGATCTGTTGCAATTAATTTTATTAGACTTGAAAGACTTTTCTGGTTAGCAGATGGACATTTGCTTGTACAGACTGGCATGGAAAAGTGTATCTACAAAGACACATTCTGGGAAGGACCAGTAACTCAGGACAACCTGCCTGTTCTTTACAATATTAAAATGTACATTATAATTATCCGTAATTATTCTGAATAAATCCTCACTGTTTTTTATTTGTCTGTGGCTCCATTATGCTCATTCTGACTCTTGATGATTCCTGTAATGACTCTGTTCTCCTCTTTGATTATTGATGGTGTCTTTGCTCAGAACATGGAGCAAACAAGCCGGGGCATGACTTTGTGGGTCCTGCATGATGGTTTTGGGTCTTATGAACTTTATATGATTTCATGTAAAGCTTGAAAGTGATAAATCCAAAGAGAATTTGCTGTTAGATTAAGTTTAAAAGCATCTTAAGCTTTTTGGTGCTGCCACACTGAGTATATTTGTAAGGCTGTCGGCTGTTGACCTGAATGTCTTCCCTGTAATGGGTGTTGCTACCCCATGCTGGCCAGGGGTGTGTTTGCCGTACAATGACGGAGGATCGCATTAAACTAACATGGTACGATGCATCGTTAGACTAACATCTGTAGTACGACTGTTTCCCAAGTCCATCGTACTTAGTACCACAGTAGTTTGTACCATGTTTATACTACAATGGTCCCAGAAGTGCTTGGTCTGACTTTCACAGCGGAAAGTATGCAAAAAAACTTGCAAACTTTAAAAATATGACAGTTGTGACAATATTACATTATTAATTTATGTATAGGTGCTCAACAATAATTCATTTCCACATTCTCATAGCGATGGACTCCTGCTTAATCATATCGCATCTGTCGGCACGGCTTTGTGTCTGACGACACGACTCACAGCAAAACCACAAACTTATTTGATGCACTCTATTGCAGGACATTCTAAAATGCTTAACGTGAAAAAGCTTCCTAGCATTTCTGGTTCGATTTTTTTGCCAGGTATAGGTGTTTATGACC